AAGTCCGCGTATTATACGCGACTTTGGCTTCTTTTTTTGTAAAGTTGTGTGAAAAAATCCCGGGTCGCGGTTTTTTGGGTTTATTAAAAAAAATATGGTTGCTTGTTAGGAAAACCTGACAAGCAACTTCGTTTCTTTTCATTTATGTTCACTGTATTCTCCAATGCATTGATTGACACTCTGTCTGCTCACAGTTAATAGCCAATCAGTGCAAAAACATAAGTGCTGTAGAGTAATTTGTCAAATATTCCGCCCCCTCCGCACGCGCCTTTTTTTTGAACGTGATTTTTCTTAAATGAGGGATTGAAGAAAAATCACGTTCAAAAAGAAGGCGCGTGACGCTGTAATCCAAGCGATGATAGTAGTAGACGTAGAGGAGTAAAAAAAAACAAGTAGGCCTATACTAACACTAAGAGTAGATTTGGTTAGAGTAGCCAATATTTTAGTAGGCTATAAATATGTGGCTATGTTACAGCTCCCCTTTGAGGCTCTTGTGTTTTTCTCCTTTTCCATCTGTCCAATCCTATTCTGCTCACAGGTGATTGGAGAAGAGTTTTGTTCCTGCTTTGTTGCAGTTTGCTGATTTTTATCAAATAACTTATGTTTTTGCTTTTCAGATAAAAGGGAAGTTTCAGTTTAATATGTTGCGGGCTCATTTATTGGTAATAAATAATTGATAATAAATAATATTGATGATAATAAATTATCAAAAAAATCGTGGGCTTGTTTTGGGCTTGATTTTGAAGCTGCGGTTGCTTATTTGTCTCGCGAGAGTTGGCAATTTTCGCTAAACTGCGCGCGCGTGTAGTGTCGCTCGTTTTTTTAGGCTGTCGTTTGTTGCATAGTTCATTATGTAAATCAAAGGGAATGGTTGGAACGATCGCTTTTCCGTAAGCTGCATTTCAAAAAATGAAATAGGAATTGCTGTCTGGATGCGGTAGAGACGAAGAAAAATGCTTATGCTTTTCATAATATTGTAAACATACAATATTGTAATCATATAACTATATAACCATAAAAGAAATCCTATATAGAATATAGAAGGGCCTCCACTCACGCATTACAGTCAGATTCCAGAACAGATTGTTTCGGTTTCATATCCCCAAGGCATCAGAGGTTTCCGAGAAAGGCATATTGAAAAGTTTTTTGTCCAAACTGAGCACCATGGCCTCAAATTCAAAATTCACTTCCTCACATCCACATATATACTTTTTATTTCTTGTTAATAATTACATAACTCAGTCATATCGTGAAACTCGTGAATTTCTTCAACATACTGTAGTAGGCGAACATTGAAAGTAACGTTGCCTACTTTTTCTTGCTCTATTATGACATTTTTGTGGCCAAAAGTACATCTGCAATTCTCCCCCAAGTAAACCCCCACCCTCCCCCTCCCAAAAAGGCCTATATATAGCCTATCTGAATATATACAAGTTCCAGGAAAAACCCAGACATCATAGTGATTCACACCAGGCATCCTAAGAATATTGCATTTTGTGAAGAGAAATGAATACCTCCTGATTTTTGTGCATTTACCTTCTGACTGACAGCAAATATTCGCAGATAACTACTGTTGCATTGTGAATGTTTATACCATTAAAAAATAAAAAAATAAAAAAAGATTTACACAAAAATGAAAATTTGCTGAGTTTGTTTCCTCATCAGAACAGATTTGGAGAAATGTAACATCTACTGCTCACCATCCTCTGCAGTGAATGGGTGCCGTCAGAATGAGAGTCCAAACAGCTGATTAAAAACATCACAATAATCCACAAGTAACAAGTCCATTGCTGTTGTCCTCTCACATCAAAATCCACCAAGACAATTCAGACAAGATGATTTTTTTTCACTGGAGAAAGCAATATTATGGATAGAGGACTTGTATTTTAGCCAGAAGCAATTTTGAAGTTAAAAATGTCTTAATGATGGATTTGTTTCTTACAAACACACAGTTTTTCGCCTCAAAGGCGATAATGGACTGGAGTGGTGTGGATTATTGTGATGTTTTTATCAGCTGTTTGGACTCTCATTCTGACGGCACCCATTCACTGCAGAGGATCCGCTGATGAGCAAGTGATCTAATGCTTATGTAATGCTAAATTTCTCTAAAACAAACTCATCTAAATCTTGGATGACCTGAGGAAAAGTAAACTAATTTTTCTTTTTAGGTGAACTTTTCCTTTACATTAAAGGGATATACCAATGTATATATAATTCCGTAACAAATGATTCATTCTTTCAGGGTGGGGCACAATGAGATAATTGGTGTGTGCCGTTTGGGCAGTGGTGCTAAAGGTTTAGGTAGAGACCACTGGAATGAGATGCTCGCATACCCCCGTAAGCCAATTGCACACTGGCACCCCCTGCTGGAACCTAAGAAATCAGAAAAAGAGGTAAGTAACAAGCATTCAGATAGGATTAGCGGTTCAAAAGTTATTAAACATTTAAGAACAATAGTTATATTGAGCCACGGGCGGCTGGCTCGGTCTTTGAGGGTTAAAGCTAAAAATGTCTTGATGGATTTGTTTCTTACAAACACACAGTTTTTCGCCTCAAAGGCGATAATGGACTGGAGTGGTGTGGATTATTGTGATGTTTTTATCAGCTGTTTGGACTCTCATTCTGACGGCACCCATTCACTGCAGACCATCCACTGGTGAGCAAGTGATGCAATGCTACATTTCTCCAAATCTGTTCTGATGAAGAAACAAACTCATCTACATCTTGGATGTGAGCAAACTGTCAGTAAATTTTCTTTTTGAACAATTCCTTTAACCAGATAAGCATGTTTTCTATGTTCGATTCAAATATTATAAGCAATGCAGGGTTCAAATACTTTTTCCTACAACTGTCAATCCTTCACAAACTGTTTGATTTTTGCAGTCCTTTTTATTTGTGCAGTCGGTTGGCACACACATCTCTCTGCTCTGATATCCTTTAGCTCTTTTATATTAATGTCCGCTGTGTCGCTGCTGTACATCACGATGAGAGATGAAAGGCCTTGTGGAGTGCAGTTTGATCTAGAAAATATATGAAAACAGTTTCAAGGTCAACATCTGTCACAACTGCGTATTCATAAAACTCACAATTGTTATTCATAAGTATAAAAAGCTGCAAAGACGACTGAATGCACCTTTGTAAAACATTTTCTCCATGGTGTTTTCGATGTCTCTGAACAGATGACTCAGATATTTCTTTCAAACAGGTACCTCTAAAGAGGCAAAAAAGGAAGGACATAATTATTTTGTTCTATTACATACAATGAATACATAATGCATAAATTATTTGCAAAATCAGGGCTGGTAACCATAGACGAGTGTTGAGGAAGAGAAGCTACTTTTAAAGTGTATGCCACAAGCTATCTGAAGTAGTTAAACTATTGTCAAGCCAATGGTTTTAAACTTTCAACAGGTAAATTTATATTAAATACAATAAACACACTCTTACAGTAGGCCTACATAACTGAATGGACAAAATAATAGGCCTAAAGGGACTTTAGGTGAATCGTTTTTAAATGAACCGACAGCATGATTCATTAGAATGAATCTGACTTTCTAAGGAAAGCCCCATTTATGACGAACCGATTGGAAAGAATCGGAAATGTACAGTCTGCATTTGAGGACCATTTAGAATCATCTGATTCACTAGAAAGAATCGAACTCTCAGTCTATGAAGACCATTTAGAATCATCTGATTCACTAGAAAGAATCAGACTCTCAGTCTATGAAGACCATTTAGAATAATCTGATTCACTAGAAAGAATCGGACTCTCAGTTCATTTAGAATAATCTGATTCACTAGAAAGAATCGGACTCTCAGTCTATGAAGACCATTTAGAATAATCGGATTCACTA